TCCTTGGTAGCTGTAGCTACGTAGCTACATGTTGATTATACTAAGAGTAAAGGCCACGATATTTTGTAGCTGAAAATCGCTTTGGCACTTTCATTATGTTGCAATCAAATCATTCTTCGTCCTGGCTATGAGTTCTATAAATATTAAGTTTATTACAGTTGAAATAATTCGAAAAACTGCTTGCCACATGTTGATCTTGTAAAGCGAGCATTCAAGTACTCGTGCCACGTAAAAGAGCCTCAAAAGTTCGCAAGACATGATTTTGCTCCTCGGGCGTCATATTCTGCCTTTGGGTCAGGGAGTACCCATCTTTTAGGCGTGCATTGATGACAGCCTTTCGGGTCTTGGATCGGACCGTTGATTCGATACTCTTTGCGATGCCTTGGAAAGGATAGGCAACCAAGCCCAATCCGGCTAAAAGAACCTCAGCGTCAGTATGAAAGCCATCCAAGCATAAGGTTTGTATGTTAGACGCTTACCGGATGGGATTTTGGTAGCAAAGCCGATGGTACCTTTCACAAGCCCTTTGACCACACCTAACGCACCCTCCTCCTTGGCTCCTTGATACGGCTCCGTGACAAGACCCTTGAAGCCATCGGTCATCCCATCGACAAAGTTTCGGCCACCGAAGATTGCTCCCGACTTCCAGCTGTCAATGGTGCCGTAGTCTTTGGGCTCTTCGCCATAGAGTCGGGGAACCTGGCGGAAGCCCTCGGCCACTGCGTGGGGAACATCCACTACGACGCCTTTGAAGTATTGGCCAGTGAACTTGCCAAAGCCACCAAGAAAGGTGCCAGCCATGGAAACTGCGGTTGACGTAGATTTTCCACCCCGTTTTCCACTCTGTTGGCCACTACTGGAAATTGAGGATGTTGACGACAAGGGCTGTATGTCGCTCAACGCAGTATCTTGTGAGGAAACATCAGGATGGTTGCGTTTATATTCCCGATAAGGATTGGCTACCATGCCAGTGGTGGATTTGAGCAAGTTGGATCCGGTTGTTGCAGCAGCGGACAATATTCCAGTAAGGGGATCCCACCGACGGTTTTCAATAATTAGTGGATTGATGTCATAGCTGGTGAAGGAAACGTTAGTACAGCTATTCTTACTTATCCTGTGGGGAAAAGAGGAGACAGACCACCGGAGATGCTTTATCTCGATCTTTGAATGATCAATCAACGTTTGAACAGCTGTTTTTGAAAGTTGTATTTGCCTCTTAGACTTAATATACGTCCAAACTGCCGCCTGCTTGGGCATGATCTGGCAACGCATTCTTTGGGCCGGCAAATGCCTATAGAATGATTCAACTGCAGCATTCAAGCCAGATTCGGTCCGCATTTTCATCGAAATCCTTTGCGCCGCTTCATTGGCTTCGGCCGTCAGGCAAAAGCGAATAGCATCTGTAAGGTTTCGTGTATTGAGAGAAGCTTGAGGGATGGGACGCGGGCCGGCACCCGCTCTTGCTATCATGTCTCCCCAGAATGGTTGACTAAGAAGGTCAGGTAAGAAGCACAATGAATGGGATATAGTTTGAGATCTCACTCCCCAAAGAATGGCACAACCACAGTCGGTCGCCCGTTGAAAAGGCCACAAGCGGTAGTTCCAGCTCCTCCGTGGTGAACCACTGCCGCGACATTCTGAAACAGCCATTCATGTGGGCAGTCGTCGAGATAGAAGACATCTTTGGAATTGGAAGACCCAACACCAAGGTTACTCCAGCCTCGCGACACAATGGCCCGTACATCAGCTGCAGCCACAGCGCTTAGCACCGCGTTGGTCAATGATTGGGGCTCTTCAACCACAATACTTCCAAATCCAATGTAGACTGGAGGTGGGCCTGACTCCAAGAATATCATCAATTCCTCAGACGGCTTGTATGTCGGTTGATCTCTGAAAAAGAAACCACAAACATCTATGCACAGCGTCAGCTTTTTCTACCTCATTATCTCCATCGTATCAACGTTCGGAAGACATCTGACCAATGTGCGAGGGCCAATCCATTGGCTTGGGGACTAATGCGGGAGACCAGCAGTATGTAAACGGAATCTTCAAAGATTCTGCTAGGCCGGGTCCCTGTACCATTGCAATTGGTTCCAAATCTAGAGTCGCTCGCCATTTATTGATAACATCGCCAAGTCTGTATGTTCAGTCAGTTCTTCTATGAACCAATGCTTCAGGAACCTGGAGCATTCTTACCCTTGCCAGGTGAGCCACTCAGCCACACCAAAAGAAATAAGGTTTGCTATACTTGGATCCATCCGCGAGGGTTTCAAATTTGCAAGGGGATGAGGAAATACCGTCGTGCTGCTCCATGGCATAGTAAACATGAGGTGAAGGGGAATGCTCAGTGCTTGGGCACAGTGAATGTGTGCAAAACTTGGAGGGTTTGCAATGATGGCATCTGCCACGAAGGGCTCATTGGATATAGGGTTATTTTCGATACACGACCGCCAGCAACCGTCGAGCATTGTCCTGACCATAGCCCGCTTCTTCTGAATTTCACCAGATCGTAAGGTCTCCATCTGAGGCAGCAATCCCGGGTTCTTGACCATGTAAGCCATTAATTCGGTCGGGTTTCCGCCAATAGGGAAAAATTCCAATCCAGATTGCGTGACAAAAGCCGCAAATACATCGTGAGTGGCAATCCGCACACGATGACCACGTTTTTGGAGCTCATTTCCCAAGGCGACAAAGGGTTGCACATCCCCTCGGCTGCCCACAATCTGAATGACGATGTTAAGCTCAAGATCAAAGGCGAAAGGTGGAACCTTTTGCTGGTCCTCATAACTCGGAGGGGGTTATGTAAGTCCTCTTGCTGTAGATCGATGACATGGGCGATACTCTTAGCAATATTCCTGGCAATGACCGAATCAAGATTGACGTCGATCCTGCCGTCGGCTAGGCTAGTCAGGATTTCCCATTCTCCCAGGTCTGTCCATGTGTCCACTCACTCCGAACATCGGCCGATTGACTGATCAATTCATGGTCCTCCGCGGCCCACCTATACGACGGAGCTGGTTCGTCCCTGTTACCGTATGCGTCCATGTTGCACTTTTTGGTTGCGAAGATGATAGGAAGAAGGAAAAGTTCGGGAACTCCACTAATAAATAGGAGGGAGTGGTTCCTGATAGCAGGCGGTGAATACCAAGGATGAGTTTGTGCTATTAGGTTGTGGGGAAATAGACTGGAATAATGGTAACAATAGAATGGATCCCGGATGCGACGCCGCATACTATACGCCTATTTGGGACTCGTAATCGTATTGGATATCTAAGGTGGAAGAGATTGATTGCAAGGTTTGCCTCAAGAGGGCATCCGCCCCACTTGGATTAAACGCTATTTGCAGGGGTCCAACATGTACAGTACATGTACTGTAATGAGGTGTGCTTAATACGGTACGCTTCCCAACGATTCTGAGGTCTTATCCAAGACAAGTCGGAATGTTATATACTGATATTCCCAAGGTCGTCGTTGCTTCGGCTGCAAGTAACTGTATGGAGTGCCTGTCTGAAATTGTTTGTCGCCCCGAATCAACTAGACACAAGGCTGATCAAATCGCCAAATTCCGTTCGAAACTGTTGTCACAAACTATGCAATTGAATTTGCCACTCCAAATTCATTATTCGCAAGCAAATCGATGGAGAAAAACTAGGCTTTTCTGCGTAAATTGATCCCACAGACCCGCGAGGATTTTTGGCAAATCAAATCCTAGAATTGGGATCCGCAGCTACTAGCTATTAGCTGATTGGCTGTAATACACAGACCCTAGTGTTATTTTTGGTTGATCTACTCAAACTTAGCCTTTTCCGGCAAAGGATGCGAATACGAGAACTAACTAATGTGTTGAAATAACATGGGATCAATCATTGAAAGAGTCCCGCGCGGACGCTGTACGTACCGGAGCACAATTAACGGACCCAATAACCTACAAAACCGATGATAACGCGCGACAATCCGTATTCGTAAACACTTCCCAGATTGGTGTCGCGGATAGCATTACAATCTCCGGACAAGCCGAAAGAGCCGAGAAGTGCTTTGCCCAGTCTCAGCGCAGGACACTGGCCCAAGGAAGCCATCAAGAAAGGAGAACGAGGCGAGGAACCTAAGTGTTTGAGGACGTCAGGGTCGAGAGTGTCGTCGCGGTGCCTGTGTGACTGACTCTTCTGCGGCGAGAAGAATAGCAAAGCGGACCCTACAGTAAAGACCTTTCCGAGCAAGATATAGTGGAGACATAGTGTCCCATGGCAGCCTTGTAATAATTTATAGTGGAATCTATGGGTCAAAATTTCAAGTAGACCAGGTCAGTGTAGAATAATCTACTAGTGTAAGTTGATTAGTAGGATTATAACTGGTAAATGCAGGTCTGTCGCCTTACTAGAAGGATTCTCTCTACTAGACGACGGCAATGTTCTAGTTATAGACGTGGTAGCGTAGGTGCCTATGCATATTTACCCGGGAGCCATGACATAGGAGAGATCGTTATCAGAAACCTTAACCCTAAAATATCATATGAGATTCTTGTAAGAGATATAAAGGCGGCACAGGATGCAATATATTGTATCAGGGACTCTGGAATCCTAAAGAGAGAAAGGAGGAATTACTTAAGAAGCAAAGCTTATCGATGATCTTTTGGCGGGCAATGGGTTGTCAAACCGATGGAGGTGAGCTGTGTTGCCGGTTGGAAAGGCTATGCAGACCGCTGTCTGAAGGTTGGAGAAGACGACAGTATAGAAATTATATGGGCTATCGAGCCACTTATGATTTATGCGCCTCCACAATATACTAATAGACCAGAGCGGCAGGCAGCCCACAGACTTAGAGCTAGTGAGCGGCCGAATAGCGTCGCATCATAAAGTAAATAGTGCTTTGCAGCCCAACTCTATGGCGGTATAGAGTCCATTGATTAGTTAGCAACCACGATTACCACTCCATCCTGTCCAAAATCATCCTGCCAACTTGCCGTTCACCGAAGTCTACAGCCTTCGGCAAGATGAAGTTCACTATGTCATTCCAGGCAGGCGGCCATGCACTTTATAGTATCTGTGGTCCCGTATACAAATCAACGAGAGTAACCCAACAAATCCACTAGATTTTAAAGTTATTGGGGGCTCCAAAAGAACGTTTCTGCTGGGGTTGGGAATTTGAGACTTACAACAGAGCAAATGCTAGCATAGCAATGATCACGCCAAGTGCTTGACTACCAGTACTATGTGAGCCTGCAGTTGCCATGATAGTAATGATGACCAAGGCGAACCAAAAGACGGTGTCAATGATGTCGAGTATCATGTTCGCCTTCAAACTGGCCCATTGCTTAAGTCGCTCGACACGAGCTGTTAAGACCTGATAGGAAAGGAAAACCGCTGCCTTGAGACACTATATCATCCAAGGACAGCAGTTAGATGTATAGCCTAACAGTCACATGTTGCTCAGGTAAGATTCACTCACTACCGCAATGCCCCATGTGTTCGCTCGGGACGACGGTGTGCCCTTGAGGGCTAGACGTGCAATGGTGAGAACAAGCGTCAAGAAAATCAGAGAGCCGATGACTATGTGAAGCCGTGATTTGACCTGTGGGTTGTTTCCGAAAGGTATTTTCATGTTGTCCGGACGCGGTTTGGTGGTAGATTGTTATGTTGGTAGGGAAACAAAGTAGCTCGGCAGACACGGCTTGTCAAGATAGATACTAATTTAAGAGATTTTAAGTAGATATGTACAGACAGACATTGGGAGAATAATATAATCTGCAAGCCGTGGGTCTGAAGGCCTGCCTGTATCTCGCAGACTCCATTATATACACTAAAAATAGTCGTATTCCTATTCGTGATATATTCGAGTCTTATACTCACGAATTTCATGGAAAAGGGGTTGAAAAATCATTATATACATGCATACGTATTTTAAAATCACCGCTTACTTTCTTGGCAAGTACAGTTGCCGGGTTCCCGGGAGTCACTAACGCCGATTTAAACCACATTAGTACTCTGATAGAAAGCTGAGCTATGACACAGTCTCAAGGGAACATCGTATTCGTAATATTCTCCCTATCCAGGCTGAGCGATTATCAAACATCCTCGCGTACTGTTCCTAGATATGTACAGTGGCGTGGGGAAAGCTGACAACCTCCGCTTTTTTCTCCAAACCCACCGCGCATCGTATCTAATTGCCGTTTTAGGATTGTTGCCTGGAAAGCCGTGTGAACGGTTGCACTGCAAAGTGGGAATAGAGCAAAAAGATTACATATGTCATTCCTGGATTTCCAAGTAGACCTTGAACACCGCGTTGTTGGAGAGGAACAGAGGTAGGAGATGACAACAGCAACAGACATGAAAGGTGGGGACGACGGGAAGTATTACCAGGTTGTTTATCCAAATTGAGTTCCCACGGAGGAATCATCATCTGCATAAAAGGAAGTTGAGCAACAAAATGAGCATCAGAAGACATATTGCTCATAAGAAGTCAGTTATATTTATAGACGCTTGTGCGCAGGTAAGAGGTATAAAGCATGGAGCTCTTGTCTTCTCTGGACACTCCTGTCTTGGCTTATTCTTCCCTACGACGCTCGTCCAAGATCCAGAGAAAGCGTAGCGGACAAAATACTTCTCCCGCACAAGCTCAATTTTGGTTCGCCCTACCAGAAAGAGAGTTGCTCAAGATGTCCATAAAACTTGACAAGTTCGCCTTCCCAGACACCTTCGCCTTGAGCGTATGCTTCGCTGATATTATATCCATTGGCGCCAGGGAGCGGGCGGAGCTCACTTTCTCTTATCAGTTGGTTTATATCCAATCGCGCTTGTCGACTGGGTATGTCCAGGTTAACCTGCTTGAAATAATCCAGTCCACTAAATTAACTTTTCCAAACATTAAACGCGGTGGTATTCCTGCCCACTTCCACAACCTCGTGAACGCCATTGGGATGCTCCACAGTAGGACCTACGACCCATTTATGGACCATTAACCCATTGGAGAGATAGAGCCAATATCCGTAATGGCCGCCAGAAATCCCAAACTCTCCCCACTGGCGTTCAAAGTATCCTCGGGACTGATCATGATCAATCGCAATTTCTTCCCCATTGATGGTTATCGTACCATTCAGACGTAGAGTAGGGTTACCCCGAAGTTATAAGCCTGCCAGTGAGGAAAGAATTTATGTGTAGCGTGAGATGCGTACATACCCAGGAGTACCCAGGTATGATTCTCCAAAATCATTGCCATCGCTTAACAGAGTGATACCACCACCCCCACCGATATACAGGTTATTGCCGGTTGGGGTAACATGTACGTTGAGCTGCACCCCAGCATAGTTCGTGGAGATATTCAAGCCTGTATAGTTGTCGGACCCACGAGGACTGGTTAGGTTCTGGTGTTCCGAGCGGAAGTTCAGAAATTCCGTGCTTCCAGTACTAGGAGCAAAAAACAGTTGCTCCGGTGGATGAGAGATCTTGAAGGTCTTCTATTCTAAAAATGCCGGTGGTGCTGCCCCGGGAAAAATTCGGTGCTAATGTTACATGATACTTGCGACCATCCACCGTAGTCAACCAAAAGAGGAAGAAGTAACTTTTGCTGTCAGGGTTTCGATTCCCAATGCACGATTGCGCGGGTAGAGTCATACCTGTTCAGGTTGTTGGGATTCTCGTCATCAAGCCAAACCAAAGTTTTGCGGACATCATAGCGGCCAGCATGAGCCTTTCATAAGGTCAGTGTGGTGGGCTCCTGAAGATTTGCTAAAACTCACTCCGTCACTGTCAATTGTGCTGACCGGGAATTCGGTAGCGCAAAGGAACGCAATTACAATCCAGCGACAACATTCAAAAAGCCCACAATGGCCACTAGCAGGGGTCGCATCTTTTCTTTCCATTTGCCACGAGTGTCTTTGGAAACAACCTACCCGACCGAGTGCAAAGGGATGAATTCGTTTATAGCAAGTAAACCGAGCACATCTGTCGGCATCTGTGAGGGTCATACTGGACTAGATTATACAAAAAGGTGCTGATCATATGATTGTATGGCGGGTCGTTTTCGTATCCTGCTACCATACGTAGTTTAGCGCGTATCTCTCCAAACCACACTGAAGAACTTCAGCAGGATCGGTGCAACGCTTGTCGCATTCGGCTTCATTTCCAAATGCGCATGGTTCTAAGGCAGACCCACCTGTCGCGTCTTTGAATCGCGCAACTTGTTATGCACAACCTGCAGTAGGCAGCGAGACTCTATCGGCTTGCATGGCAAATGGCATCAAGTAACGGCGACGGAAGGCCTACAGCATATTTACTCCTCTATCCCGATCCATCCCCTGGTGTCGGCTTACTTCGGATGGCCCATCGTTGGTTGAACAGCCCCTCAAGTAGTTGGCTGTTGCAAAGGTCGTAACAGTGCCACGCAAATCGGCGGCCAAAGCCGCACATAATAGACCTCACTCCGTTATGGCGTTTCGGGAAATGGTTACGAACTCAGATTTCCTTCTTTGTGATCGGGTTTACTACAGGTCGCCCAATACTCATCATAGAACCACCGTATAGCCCCACCCAGGCAATTGTGGGGCCAAAATTATATAAAATCTCCACTACCCTAGCCCGTTCCGGGAAATAGATACGACACCGGATTTTTCTCCTTCGTGATTGGGGCTATGAGTAGGTGCCTGGAAAAAGCCAGTGGCGCTAAATAAAACATTGCTGATAGTTTCCATTGGAAGGCTCACTCTGCTCAGGCTCATCGGATGAAAACATCGACTGTCCTCCCACGACATATGCTCCCAGTTTATTAAGTGGTTTCCTAAATTCTTGGCCTTTTACAACCGACATAATTACCAACGTACGATTTGGCAGAGCTCGCATTTTTGGACCCGTCTCCCAATGGATTGCGATGCTCTTTCGAACGTCTCAGGCCATTTGACGATTGACAGGAATGATACATCGTTGCGTTCAAGCCAATCATTGTCTCTCCACGGAGGGACTTCAGGTATATCAAAGCGTGGATTGTTGCTGATCTATATTCACGGCTTCATGGGCTCTGAGGCCAGCTTTTACAATTTTCCTGCACATGTTCACGATTTGTTGACAGATCTTCTGAGCGAATCCCATGTAATATACACACGTGTGTATCCACGATACAAGACCCATGGCGAATTGCAGGCCGCCGTCAATGACTTCAGCAGCTGGTATGTAGACTGGAATTTTCCAAGGAACGCAAAAATTGGCCTTGCGTGAAAAAAACGCCCTGGCTGACTCTTAACTATTTCAGGCTCGCACCACATGAGGTAGATGACCTTGATATTATCTTGGTTGGACATAGTTTGGGCGGCATTCTCTCCGCAGAAGTCGCGCTACTGCCGGATTCTACTGGGAAGACCACTACTGGACTCAAACATCGCATTCTGGGGTTGGTTAATTTCGACGTTCCATTCTTGGGACTACACCCTCGAGTCATTGCAACGGGGATCAGTGGACTGTTTCACAAGAAAGATGCCCCATATGGCACTGAATTCAACGAAGAGGATTATCTGGGGCTGGACCCTGCATACATTGCCAGTCCATACTTCGACCCTCCGTTCGAAAATGACAAACATCTCATCAAACGCGATCGATTTGACAGCGTCATGCACTTTTTGTGCAAAAATGTTCATCATTTGTCTCGAGCAGTCTTCGACCGTCTACTTTCGTCTTATAAGTTTGCTGGCCACCTCAATAACTACTCCCAACTGCGCCAGCGATACCGAAAGTTGATGGAGTTGGAAGCTGCAGAGAGAGGCAACCGACTAGACAGAATTCGGTTCATCAATTACTACACCACAAGCACCGGGTTCACAACTAAGAGAAAGAAGAAGAAATCAACAAAACAGACACGGGCAGCCGTGTATAGCTTGCAATCTCCTCGTATTGGTCTCACCCGCGCGGTTTCAGAGAATGGAAGTCGTGATCAAAAAGGATCATCCGTCGAAGATTATTCGTCTCTTTCGGCCTTCGGAAAATTGAGATCAGTAGGATCTGATTCAGCACTCGTGGGAGATTGTGATGAAGCCGACAAGAAGCATCGAGCAGCGGGCTTCACTGACTCTGGTCTGACCAGGCCAACAGAGCTAGCAAAGAGTAACAGTCTGTCTGGAATGAGTATCAGTTCCAGTATTATGCCGACCGAAATGACTAAAAAGATTAAACCTAGCGTGGCAGGAGTACGGCGGAAATTTCGCAAGTTTGTTCTAATGCCATCGCATCATTGGCGACACGGAGACAACTCTCTGTGGATGCCAGTACAGATGGAGAACATGGATGAGGTAGTGGCGCATCAATCTATGTTCATTCCCCATGGGAATATCTATGATGAGTTGGTTGGTGATACAGTGACCAGAATCGAGAGTTGGGCTCAGGATAACCTTAGCGAGCGAGCCTTATGACAGAAAGTTGACTAGGGGTGCCCAGCCTGTATTGTTTGGCTTCCTGGGTTTACAATTGATACTATTTACCGTATAAGTTAACGAGTCGCCAAGTCCCCGTATCTGCATGTTGCTTTCTCATTACTCAATCATACCATGACTGCACGACTTTACGGATCAAAGAATATTCGTCGTTTCCGATCACTCTTCAACACCTTTCATGCGACCTCAACTATTGCACGCCGCCTTTCCTCTTGCTCCAAAATGCCCGAATATTCAGACCTATTCGTTACGCTTCCGCTGACGATGTAGGTATGTGGGGCGTTAGCTCCCTTTTTGCAAAAGACCATTGGACTAATATGTGATGACTGTAGATATGATGATGCTCTGAGACATTGTGAGAGGAGGCGTGCTTTTGGCGTGTCTGAACTCTTAACACCTGGCTGCCATGTCAGTCCAGCAGCGAGGTTAGGATATCACAGGCTTTGGGAATCCTGCCGAAGGAGGCTTCAACCGGAGCTTTCTAGTCGCCATGCGTAACGGCCTCAAACTTGTTGCTCGTATTCCATATCCAGTCAAAAAGCCAAAGTTTCTCGTCATTGCAAGCGAAGTCGCGACGATGGATTTCCTCCGTTCTCACGGTATACCCATGCCAATTGGGTAATCTGCGGCTATGGAAAATCCCGCGGGAACCAAATATATCGATATGGAGTACGTGCAGGGAACTAATTAGGTGATATCTGGTTTAATTAACTGCAAAGGAGCGAGCGGAGATAGTCATAAGTCTCTTGCGACTGGATTCTCGTCTGTTCATTTGGTGTTTGCCAGCAGCCGGAGTGGTCCTCATGGCCGATTTTCATCAATTCCCTCCGGTCCAAGGCCAGGAGGTTTCCACAATGCCTTCGAGCCAGACATCAGAAGACCTTTGTCTTCGCAGCTCTCCACACCCGAACAAGATCTTCAGGCCCGGCAGCCCCTCGACTTCATGCGGATGACCTGCTCTGTTTGCCCCAGCAAGGCGCAAAAGTCCCTTTCCCAGGACTCATTTTGTACACTTTCTCCACGCCCGGATATATATCATTCACCGTGGTTCTGAACGGAGTTTCGCATGATCAGCGGAATTCGTATAGTTAGACAACCAGTACATTTTTTGCACTAAGCCACCATTATGTCTTCTTTTCAAACCAGCCCGCACATACCTAAATACTTTCTACTTGGACGGTGGTGTTTTACCTATCTTTCCCCTCGAGATGTCTATCACTGTGAAGGGTTATTCAGTCCGGCGGAAGCAAAGTCCTGTTTGTCCGGTATTTCGTCTCACCGACTGCAAGGTCCAAGGCGCAACTCTCAACTCTGTCATTTCGGATCTGGAAGACGATGGCAAGAGTCGACGGCATGACTCGCACCGAAATTACTGCTCCACATACGTGCAGTTATCGCGCCTACGTTTACTAGAGGGCCTTCATCTCATGCAACCAATCGTTATGAGTGACGTGGAGCACAAACCTGACCCTCAATTGCTTGAAGAAATGCGCAGGTTGCAAGCGCTTCAACAGGAAACTCTTCGTGCGTGGCAGACCAATTCTTACGACTGTTTCAAATGTCCAATCATCTCTTTCCACGTCTTACATACATTTGTACTTACAGACTCATGTTCTATATGTCGTAATCATCTTTCCGAAGAAGCGGTCAAGGAGTTTGATCCCTCACATTTTTATCGTATTTGCGCCTGACGTGCTGCACAACGGCTATTTCCTGCTGTCATGCCTAACATACTTTATATTCTAATTTATGCAGTAATGTTCCGTTTTGTCCTGCTATATCCTCTAGCCCCACACTTCCCCGTAGACAACTACTTTCGATATGCCATAAATTAAATCATTTCCCGCCGTCCTTCATATCGGCGATTTCATCGAGAATGTTGAACCGGATCCAACACGACCTGGTAAAGGATTTTCCATACAGCTACGTGTTTCGCTCAATATTCCAAGCAAGGATGTTCAGTCAGACGATGTTGAACAGGAAGAAATCCCCACTCTTATCAGATTTTTCAATGAGGGCAACCGGCTTGACCTTTACCAACCAAATGTCTTTGCCTGTTCGTTGGGTGCTTTTCTGACTACCACCTCCGATGAGGAAGGATTTCATATTCTACTTCACGCTCACAATTTGGATCGGTGGGTTTGCCTTGTCTAATTTAGGAGCATGTTTACACGATCTAATCACCCCGGAAATCAGGAAGATGCTGCCTCATACTTCATGCACGGTTCCGAAGCTGCTCAGGCAATAGCTACTTTCCTCGCCGTCGTTCTTGACCGTGGCGGCCAACTAAACGATGGGCCAAGTTTACTCCACTATCGTCTTCAGACTACCGTTTAGAACACGTCAACTCATACCCAGCACTCTTTTCCGATCACCGCCTACTTCAAAAACGGGCAACGTTGGGCGAACTTTCCGCCATTCAATGTAAACGCCCATGTTTTTGACGGGTCGCCTCTTCGGCCTCACAGAAGAGAATCGTCAGTTAGCTATCGTCGCGGATAATATATGTTTTATCCCAGCACCAGCTCCTCATCTACCTCCAACTCCTTCCTCAACAACTGGTAAACGGAAGCGAGTCGATCGTTGGTCTTGGAAAGCTGGCCCCATCACCCCCTCCAAATCAAATACAAACCCCCAAAATGAACCTTCTTTCAGTGGCCAGCAATATCCTGAGCCAATTGGAACAAATGCCCCAGATGATGAGGACGACGAGAGCACAAAAATGACGTGGCCAGACACGGCAGACGAAGTCAAGGCCTTTCCTCGTGCTAGTACTCCCACTCCAGAGAGACGCTCTCAAAGGCCAAGGGAAACCTCGTATGCTGATATACTCGCGCAGTCCAAAAATACAGTAACAACTGTTAGTGAATTTGACTGATTTCTTAGTTGCTTACTTCAATCGCGTTTATTAGTCATCTTATCTTTCCTCTCATTGGCCAATCTTAACTAAAACGCAACTCAAACATCAATCCACACATTTTAATGTTTCTTTTCACCTTTCCATCTCCCATTTTGAGTTCTTCATTTCAGGGCCGATGCGCGCGACGCGCGCGTCTTCCAGTACAATACAGTCCTGCAGGGATTACTGGGGAAGAACTAAAATTAGGTTAGCGTGCTTCGAGTCAGGGTTTGGGAATGGATTCGAGAGAGTGTAGTGGTAAAGCTGATTAGGAATATTGCTGTAACAATCACCAGAACTGTCATCCAAGAGAGCTCTACACGTTGTGTGAGAGCAATGAGGAGGGGTTTTCGGTCAAAGCCAAAGCACCAGACGAAATATAAGAGAAAGAAGAAAAGGAGGAAGAATCCGCCAGGGTGCCATCCAGTGTTTGCACAATGTGTGATCATAATAAAAAACAAAAATAAACGGCGGCACGTGAGAACACGTACTTTGTGTGAGGTTATCAGAGGAGCATATGAGGATATGGTGAACTTGGGTGAATCAATTCCTACGGACCATCAGGACTCACCTAACTGCCCAGCTTCATTTTACACGTCCGCGAAGAATGGAAAAGAGTTGCAGCTCATTTTAACCACCCAAACAGGACGACTAAACTCATTCCATGTGGCTAACAAAAAAAAGGGAAAAAAAGAAAATAATCGGTCAACTCTACATTAAACAAATTTACATCACCATTTGACCGGTTATCCTTCCAAACATGACCATGATTTGCTGCGCCAAAATACCCGCTTTTTGCACATCTGTCCAGAGGTGACCTAAGGATGGCTCCACTGCAACTGGCAACCACATTTGACCACGTCCATTGTTTAAACAGGTCAACCACTTCAGGTACCCACCGATTGCACCCTGCATAAAGTAATCAAACGTTACGAGTTCACTTCCCCAATGGTCACCATCAATTGACGACTTCAACAACTGGAGTTGGAAATTGAAGCCTGCGGTACTGTGTCTTTTGTTCATTTGCTTTATGTATTTTGTTTTGATGGTTGTGGAAGATGAATGGTCCAGAAAATTTCTTGAGCATACAGAATTCGACAGATGTACGTCGTGTGTGAGGTGGTCGCACGGGTCACACCAATGGACGCCAGGGATCCAAGCCGCTAGGCTGACCCTGTGGACACCGCTATGAGCTCCTTTGGGCCTTGCATAGGGTAGGCATACCAACGCATGATCTGATGAACCCAGTGGACTGGGCGAAATTCGAGGCAGCGACTCGTCGATGCCACCAGTAGTCATGTGGAAAAACAGAGCCATCCATGGTATTGGTGTAGGGAAGTTCGAGCAGACAAGATATTTGCTCGCTTCACATTCGAGTCAGCAAGCGTTGATCCAGTTGGACAAGGTGTTGTGCTTAACGCCGTTCATGAAGAATCCGACTGTATGCTTGAGTCCGATGGTCAATTAGGATCGTCATCATACCAGCTTATCAACTAGACCACTGCCAATTCTCTTCGGCAATGCAGGCACCAATACGCCATGTTGACATGATGTTGTATCCAGGTTCGTCGCACTCTCCGGCTGTCGCTTCGAGAAGTTGCGCTAGATGCACCGGGCAAGTTCACAAGACAGCAAAGGCGCGTGCCGATCTCACGTGTGCCAAGAAATTGTACAGTCGTAAAGGGAGACCGCTTCGCCTAGGCGGCGAGAGGCTGAGGCACTCAGTCGTTCAGTGTGTGAAGGCGGTGAGGAGGGGGAAGACGCGATGGCGCGTCGGCCCCTTGGTCTTATCTGAGTCGGCGGGAATAGGTAACTCGCCACAAGACTTTTCGCGGTTGGCGATGGGATGCTCCTACAACGGCATAAAGATGTCAGTAGTGTTCGTGTCTGGGGCACAGACTTGGCACAAATCATCGGACCTGGCGCAGCAAGAGCCGCGATATTCCACTCACCTTACCATAAAGAACAAGGTTCTCGAGCTTATGCGTCATGTTCTTGGCCTGCGGTCTTGGCTTGTAGTATTTCACATGGACATGCTGCATGGTTTGAAGTGGCAGGGCCAGAAATGGTGTGTAAGCCATGACTTTGCCCGGAGCACTGACGGCACCGCTGGTTCGCACTAACATTAGGGCGCTGTCAACGGTCTCCTGTCCATCATTAGCTTGTCGATCGGCGAGACAATGCAGGACTCACATATTCTGAAAGAAGACACGGGAAAGGGCTCCGTGGCTTTGCGCGTGCATTGGATGGAATGCAAGGATCCGGTTATTTCGCATCGTCTTTGAAGTCAGTCCAGTTTCGGATAGGGTCACGCTGAAATCTACATACCTGTATGGAAATCGCTCTTTGCATCGATATTCAGGGGCGGGACCGTGGTCGGCTGCTATGGTGGATAGATGTTCGCATAAATACATCGACCATCTAACATAAATCTGCTTCTTTGATCGGCTGCCATGGGTGGCATGGTGGACCTGGTGGGAATCTCATTCTCAAAAGCACTTTCTAGCTTGTCGGCCCACATGTATCAATAGATGTCAGTACAGTGGAATTCCAGTAGGGTTGAAGGGAAGTACTTATCAGGTACCCCAACCACAAGGCCTGCTCGACTTTGTGTAGCCAAGTGATGGAATTCTAAACGAACCTCGGGGGAAGGGGACGTATTTATAGGCTTCTCAGCTCCTGTCGCGTACGTGCTCTCTTAGGGAGCAAACGTTGAAGGACAC